CAGCAGCAGCAGCTTTCGGGGGATAACGGCAGACCGTCTGTCTCCTCTTCAGCTACAAACATCCTTGCTGCTGCGCTGCTGCTGCTGCTGCAGCTGCTGCTGCAGCTGTTGCTGCTGCTGCTGCTGCTGCTGCTGGTGTTGCTGCTGTGCTTGACGGCTTGCTGCTGGTGCTGCAGCCGTTGCTGCTGCTGTTGCGCGCATGCATGAACCTGTAGGAAGACCTTCCACACAAGAGCAGCCAAATCAGCAGCTTTGCTGCTGCTGCTGCTGCTGCTGCTGCAGCTCTTGCTGCTGCAGCCAGCTGTGGCTGCTGTAGGTTCAACGATGCTAAACAAACTGTTGCTGCTGCCGCTGCTGCTGCTGCTGTTGCTGCTGCTGCAGCTGCTGCTGCGGTGCATAACCTGAAGAAATTTGCTGCTGTTGCTGCGCTGTGATAGCAGCAAGTGCTAGTATATGAGAAGCGTTCGATGCTGCTGTTGCTGCTGCTGCAGCAGCAGCAGCAGCTGCTGCTGTTGCTGCTGCCGCTGTTGCTGCTGCTGCTGTTGCAGCTGCTGCTGTCGCTGGTGCTGCTGCAGTTGCTGCTTTATCTTGTTACGCTATTGTTGCTGCTGCAGCTTCTGTCGTTGCTGTTGCACCTGCTGTTGCTGTTGCTGTAAGTCGCTGCTGCTGCTGCTGCTGCTGCTGCTGCAGTTTGCTGCTGCAGTTTGCTGCTGCAGCTTGGGGTGTCACTGCAGCTCCGAAGCCTGCGTGGGTAGGTCGCAGGTGAGGGTTTGGGGGCTGTTGCTGCAGCTGCTGCTGTTGCTGCTGCTGTTTGTGCTGTCGTTGCTGCTGCTGCTGCTGCTGCTGGTTGTTCTACAGCTCCTATAATCCCCCAGCTGCTGCTGCATTGCAGGGTGCTGCAGCTGCTGCAGCTGCTGCAGCTGCTGCAGTTGCTGCGGCATGGCTGATGCGCCTTGCATGCGCTTGTGTTGTGCTGCTGCCTTGCTGCTGCTTCTGCTGCTGCTGCTCCTGCTGCNCTGCTGCTGCTGCTGCTGCTGCTGCTGCTGCTGAGGTCTGGGGGCAAGAGGAAAGAGAAGAGCGAAGGCCTGAATACTCCTGCTGCAGTGATGGCGACGAGCAGCAGCAAGACAGCAGCAATAGGAGCTTGGAATTGTTTGGCTGCTGCTGTTTCTGCTTCTATTTCAGCAGCAGCAGCAGCAGCAGCAGGATCAGTAGCAGCAGCAGCAGCAGCAGCAGCAGCAGCAGCAGCAGGCCGTGTATAAGGCATCGATTGAAGCCCCTGCTGCAGACTCTGTATAAATAAAAAACAAAGAAGAGAAGGAAGCATATATTTTATAAGAAAGGACCAAAGCGGCAGCAGCAGCAGCAAATGGCAGTCTGCTGCAGCAATTACATTCAGGTGTATACGCAGGTGTTCTACGTTTCCCCAAAACAACCAAAAATAACAAAAACTTAATACACTCAAACCATCACCATGTACACGGATTCCTCTCCTGCTGCTGCTGCTGCTGTTGCTGCTGCTGTTGCTGCTGCTGCTGCTGCGCCTGCTGCTGCTGCAAGAAG